GGTGCTACGCGACACAAGCCAAGCTTCGCAGACAACGATGATCAAAGAGTTGTAGGCACCTCAGATTCTCAGACTAAAGAGGCCGTCTCACTTCCATAGAGTAGGACGGCCCTCAGTGTGGTCATGGAAGCACGGTCTTTCAGACGGAGGGAAACTCCTTTCTTTCGCTAAAGATGTCGCAATGGTGGGTATTGCAATGCTTGAACTGAATTCAATAGTTATGCGCCCATTGTTGCTGATGTAGCTGCCAAGGTAAGTGAACCGATCAACTACCTGGAGTTCCTCGTTATTAAGGATCAACGGGTCACCAAATGGCTGGTGGTCCTGGAGCAACACTTTGCACTTTGGAAGTGTGAAGCGCATGCCTAATAATAGGACCAATCTAGTGAGGCTATTCAGAGTTGATAGTGCCGCCACCAACATCGTTAAAAATCAAGAGTGTACAGTCCGAATAATCCAGCTCAACTAAGCTTCCACGATTCGTAAGGGAACACTCCAACTGACGCTACATGTTCCATGGAACGATGTAAGGCGCAAAAATTGTAGTTACTGTATTGCGAGTTTCATTTTCAGATGCCCAAAAGCGATCACTGATCGAGAAACAAGACCAAAAATAAAAGCACCTATTTCCCGCCGCCGCCTCCATTGATCAATAATGAAAACTTCTGAATAAATAAACACACGAGCTGAACTTGTTACCACAAGCTAGTTACTCTTACTACTTTACCCCTCCTAAAACCAAATGTCCAAAATACGCGTATCGCCACCTTCGTGGAGGATTCACGTAAGAGCAAAGACAGTATTAAAGGGTTGCGAAGCAAACACTGAGTATGACGAAGTTAACTTTATCAAAATGTTAAAGTCCGGCAGTCATTTGTATGACGAACTGTCTCCACAACATGAAGCTGTATAACAGTGCGTCACCCTGTCCGCACAGATGGACGGCCAGCGCAGTTTTGGTCACTCGCAGAGGCGAAGTATATGTGAAAATAAATGGCGTGATATGTCCACGTTTGCTGTTAAATAAGATTATACATCTCTGGCATCGCCGTTCTTTCGCGTATCCGCCAGTCCAAATTGGACATATTTGAGGCAAATTTCGGCCACCCAAAAACATTTTCGGTTTGGCTTACCGGCTATAGTATTGAGTAACTACAAGCTGGGAAACGAGTTCCGCCTAATGTTGACGGCATGCGCAGTCAGGAAATAAATTCACGGTATATGGTAAGGGTGCATCGGAAAACACATTCTGAGTGACCAAAAGTCGTGCCAAGTGTGTCAATTTGGAACGACGTTCGGTCACTCAATAACATTTCCTGTTTAGCCTAGGCGTCAGCAGTACGCCGGTAGGCAGTACCGACGCTTCACTGTCGCGTAATCACCACCGGTCACACGTGGGCTGATACTGCGAGGGTCGCCCTATCCAAACGTAGACTGGGACCAGCGCCGCAAGACTAAAACAAGCTCGTTACCTCCAGACTAAAGGCCAGCTGTTTAGCCTAATAATAGTGGTACTGCGCAATAACAATTTGGGAAATACTTTCCGCCAAATGTTGACGGTATTTGCAACCAGAAAAATACATTCAAGATACATGGTAAGAGTGTGTTAGTAAAAATATTTCCGAGTGATCAAAGGTCGTCGAAAAAGTCCATTTGAGACGGCCAGGGGCACAAGATTTGGTCACTCATGCTATGCGGTTTACAGACAAGGGATATAAACAAGATGTCTTGTAACGTTTCCCATGGACTTACAAATCAACAGCACGAAACAGTGTTTACGGAGAAAACTCAAACTCATTCCCTCAGGTGAGCTATATATCTCAATTAAAGAAACTACGCTGTCTAATGCTACCGCTAAAATCACGAATGTATCAAAGACAAACAAGCTGGCTTGACAAGTGAACTGGCACGGAGTCCATGATATGTCGCATCGCCTGTACCCCTACTGCATGCGCATTTGCTGGAGTGATTACCACACGGTAAATGATAATTGGTAATAGAGTACGGAATTCATTCTACGGTGCGACTAAGGCATTAATCAATCGTAAGACTCAATAGGCAGCCGAGACGGATGGGGAGGGTATCCGTCAAAGCATTACCACACACATTTTGGAGAATTAGGTGCAATTTCTGAATGTCAATACATGTTTTTCACTTATAATGTGTGTTGACGAAATTGCGTGTGTCCATTATGGCAATGCACCGTTGACGGCTCTAGTAGTGAGGTTAAGAAAATAAACAGTAGAAGACAATGTATTGGGGTAAACAGAAAGGCGCAAGCAAATGTTGCGGAAAATGTTTTCTGACAATCCGGTGGCAGTTTGAGACATGTTCCGTCGGGACTTATTCAGACTCACAGCGGAATTTCGCCGAACTAACAGTGGTCTTTCAGTGAACTCTCGTGCCAGTAGGGTAGCTAGTTGGATCACCTGTGCGGGCATCGTTTAAAGGTCAAACAACAAAAGACTAGGCTATTCATCAGGGCGAAAAATTATGCGAACCACGTCGCAAGTAGCTAAAAGGAACTTCCTTCTAACTTGATTGATTGGGAAACTGTATTTGCCTATACAATTGTTGGCCAGATTCTAATCCTGAACTACTGTTACTGCGTTGAACCTGCAGTAGCAAAACATAGTGCAGTGAAACCGGACGTGGATTAAAGTTCAACTAAAACCGGAACAGTAGGAAAATCACGTGAATATTCCACCTTCGAAATCGTCGTTGAACCAGCAGGGAATGCGGTGGATTGATCCGCCAAATGAGAGCCAGATCAACACACACAATGCGCATAGTCAACCAAACGATGCCCACGTGTCCTGCACTAGTAGTCCCAGCTGTGCCGGCCACGTGAATAAAAAGCGAAGAAAATAAGGGGAAAGACAAGCTTAGCAGATTACATTAGTAATATAGAGATGCAGGTGAAAGTGAAATGAGGAGTAAGCGTTAATAGACGAGTAAAGGCTTGAGGCATGGAAGGGAATGTTTTGAACTGTAGACCAAGGGCATCAAGTCGATGTTCAAACTCTTTCACCGTCGATGCCATTACAACTATTACAGCGCGTTCCAATAACCTATGACCCTAATCGATAACCGAAAACTGCCCTAACCCGGTCAGATCGAAGGTGGTGAAACTTCAGTGGGTGACTACATCTGGAATAAATATTTTTCTGTTTTAGTGGAGCGTGAGTCTGTAGAAGTTTTCAAAAAGAGTTTAGATATGTGCTGATCTGACCATTTCCCACAGGTATTGTAATTATACTGGAATAGGTAGTGTATTCTGATGCTGACATGAATAGATAAATAAATGGTATATTCCTCGGTGATGCCAGACAGTCCAACTTTGTAGCCTGACCAATGTACAAAGATTGTTCTAGTTCTTAGTTCATTCTTTTGCAGAAACAATAAGAGTCAATCCAACGTCGAAGTGAAGGGGGGTTGTTTTTCATATACCTTGGTGAAAGCCCCTATGATTCGTAGTAAGTTACCTGGTCTGACCTGACGAGAGGTTGAGACTCAAGTTGAGTGGAACAGTCCAGTTAAATCAGGACTAATCTGACAAATCAGTATGCGATATGTGGGGATCAAGTCGCCTGTAATGCATGAAAAACCTATTCAACTTACGTAACCTCTCATGGTATGTCAGCTTCTTTAAACAATGCACCATTTTCGTCAAAGACCGCAAGACCCGTTCAATTTCCATCCTGTCACGGACGATGCATGGGGGACTAGCCTGTACACAATATTCCAAGTAAGGCTTCAGAAAAGCCGTAAATAGTCTAACATTTCAGTCGTCATGATCCCGAATGACTTCCGGATCAAGCACATGCCGAATTCTTTGCGAGCAGCTGCTGGACCTCAAGCCTCGTGACAGCAAGATTCCTAGGTCAGCTTAGAGTTGCACCCGCCGCACTTTGTTGTCACCAAGCAAATAACTCGTCGGTCGGTTAGCTGGTCCAATGCGTAGGACTGAGCATTTCCCGAGATTTAAGGGCAACTGCCACAAAATGGACCAGTCCTAAAGTTTATCCAGAGACCTTTGTAGGGTCAGTGGACCAGTCGGAACGTTTACCGTGAACTAGAATTTTAAGTCATCAGCAAACATTAGGGATGGCATTCCCAGCTCATCAGGTAAGTCGTTAACTTATAAACAGAAAAGCAAGGGGCCAAAGACTGAATTTTGCGCGACCCCACTGAGAACGCATAGTTACGGAGACGCAAATGTAATTTCGCCGATGTAAGGAAAGACAATCAAACGCAAGTGCCTATGGCTCTGGTTCGGTTGCCATTACAAGAAGCAAGAAGCTCGTTAGGTCAAAGTTTGAATGCTTGTTGGACTTGACATACTGCGTTATTAAGTCCTAAAACCGATTTGCGATAAATAAGTAGAATACATTAATACCTTGAAAAATGAATGCACTACATGTACTCATGTTTGGCGAGAAAGGTTTTCCAAATGACTGATATTTGACCAAATATTGTGTCAAATGAACAGGCTACGGGTACACATATCAGTCAATCAGAGAGCTCCAATGGCTATTATAGCACACACTAAATAACCAATCGTGATGTGTTGGAAGTAATATCTTAAGCTTAATATAAGAGTTTCCATAACACCAAAGGAAAATTTATAGTTACAAGTGACAGGTATAAAGATGAAGAAGTAAATTATCACTGACCAATTAGTGATTTTAACAGAGACAGGAAAACACAAACAAAAAAGCATTCAATAGAAAAGTTCAATTTAGTCTGAACATTAATAGTGGCACAATGACAACGGGAATTAGCCACAAAACAGAGAAGCTGAATTTTTGAGTACACCATATATAGCTTACACTTGATGCAACGGTCACAAGTGACATATGAAGTGCCAAAAATCTAAAAGCGCGTTCGATCAACATCAATCGGGAAACGAAGAAGTATAGAAAGCCATATGAATGAATTAGCTTTGAGTGGATCGCTTAAGACAGCGGCCCACAAACATGTGAACCGTACCACTGTACCTGAACGAAAATTGATTTGGTTGCTGGGTACACCTGCATACAACCGACAGGTCATTAGCAAGCAAACTTTGTGCGGTTGCATATTTAAAGACGTGTACATTTATACTTAACATGTATAAGTAAGTTCCCGTTTAGCGACTGAATATCGATTAAGTGGCTACCAATTTGTTTGTCTACAAAAGTCATAGGCCAGTTAATTTTTCCAATTAAATTAATTAAGACTTATTATTTGTTACTATGCGTGCTATGCTAGAGTTAAAACACTATGCAATTAAAGCACATTTTTACTGTAATATGCACCTATGGTAATTTAAATTCGCGCCTTTCGTGAGCAGGTCAGCTTCCTCAAATGACTACTCTCGATCACTCCAGTAAAGCTCAATGTAAATAAAAGACGCGGTGGAAAAGTTCACTAGTGTTAATATTTCATAACAACTTAAAGAACGATAAAATCTTACAACCTAAGTTTGCATTAATACGGGTCTGATAACCTTTAAATTAGGTTTTGTATTCAAAACGAATCCTTACTCAACTCGCATACTTGTGTTCCATACGTAAAACTATAATGCGATCTTCACATTTCATTTACGTCTCGAGGAGAACTCTCCAGATGTCTCAAGCTTTGTCAATAAAATTTCTTGCCTTCTTTCGGTTGTAAAAGTTCTTTGACAATCACCACTTTTCTGAACAAGCGCAATCCGTGGCTTAACGGACTGTAGGATTCTGGAACCGTGCTGCACAACGGTCGGTGATAGACAGGCTTCTGGGAGGTAGTCTTAGCAGACAGCAGGCTACTGTCCTGTGGTGTATGTAAATCAAATGTTACTTTGCAATTTATGAGCCGTTAAGCTGAAGTAAATGACTTTGGTGTTCTATGCTGACATGGGTTTACATGTTCAAGCTGTGAGTTTACATGCAACATAAAGAGCGTTGGTGGATTCATTCGCTAGCATGGCTGTCGACGATGCCGCTGCTTTGTATGCTGGCTTCCTTCATTTTGTACTTCACTTTTGCGAATTTCGAAAGTGACTTACCTCGCTTCAAACTCTGAACTTCAGTACGTTAGCTCAAATCAGATGTCCTGACACCTGAAACCTAGTTGTAGAGAAGAGGTAAAGAGCTTCAGGAGGGTGTTAATTACAGATCCTTACACCATAGATGTCTTTACTGAGGGCGAAGAGGGTAGAAATGCAAGATTGCTGAAATCATACGTGGAAGACCATTTAGAGTCAGGGTTGGGGAAGCGAGTTTCGATGTGGGCATTACCTACAACGGGTTCCCCAAAGTTTCGGTATTGGGTCCATCGTTGTTTCTTATGCTAATAAACGACCTGGCTCCTATTATTGTGGTTCAGTGCTATACCTTCGGAAGTGACTTGGAGCTAGTCTGTGGGGGAAAACGAGCAACATTGCCAAGGATACCAACATTATGGTGAATTGGTTGAGCCAACGGGATTTACCTCTTAATGTCAGTAAACGTCTACTGCTGACCACTAGTGAAAGCGGAATGGTAGCACAGTCTGTTGCGTGATCTTTGTCATGGCAGTGTACTGATGATGCCCGGGATTTAAATGTCATAATAGTGAACATTTTTAAGCCTTCGGCACAATGTTGCCATACTGCCAGTAAAGAGTGTCAAGGGTGATTGTGCCTCCGGAGGGCGCTGAGAAACACTGAAGCAGAGGTATTCTTTCCGTTCTGTAAAGCAGTAGTTACGCCACATCTAGAATGCTGCATTTGTGCCTGTGTACCCTATCACCGTAATGACGCTGTGTCTAGAAAACTTTAGAAACGTGTGACAAGGATGGTGGACGTTCAACAACGGACATCGTACGAGGATCGACTAAGCAGCTTAGGATTAGTTTCCTTCGACCAGCGCAACTTTCTAGGGGATTTGAAAGTGACGTTTAGATCACGGTGGAACCCAGTGCCATCAACCTTAGCCATCTGTTTGCGTTAGCTTTGTCAGACCACCTGCGTGGACGTCGCCCGGAGCTCAAGCAATATAACCAAGTACAATTATGTTACTATTGCTTAAGAGGCTTTTTTAATTGTACGGTTTTCGTCCCAGCTGCGCCCAAGCTACATAGCGCAGCCTCTTCCGGAAAAGCACCATAGGCGTTTTGCCTTCTTGAGGCTATTCAGTGGTGCGCAGTCCCTTCATCTTCTACTGGAGCTCGAACCTGTGACGCCTAGATGCAAATGCCAATTGGCAAGCAGCTTTAGCCACTGAGCCATGGGAGACGTCGGCTGGGCCACACCATTTGCAAGGTAAGTGGGAAATAACACGGCCTATCTTCGACTGCCACGCAAGTTACTACCTTAGCAGCTGACAGTAGCTAACCACATATGGTCATGATTTCCTCTCACTGGGCGCTACGTCCATGGCATTTGAAACTAGGAAAGACTAGCTTTAGATTACTAATGCGTAGGGGAATTTTACTTGACATCGTAATGTTTTCTTCCCAGCTGCTCACGAGTTACTTAGCACAGCCTCTTTCGGAAAGGCACCAGACGCGTTTCGCCCTATTAGTTCGCTCCAAGTTTTAAATTCTATAGACGTACAAATTAGTGAGAGGAAGTCATGGCCTTCTGAGTCTAGCCGCTGTCATCTGCTTAGGTAGTAAGCTACGTGCCAGTAGAAGCTGGGTCTGCTATATCCCAGTCGTTCAACAGAAAGCCGAACAAGCCGCCTACACCTTGTTGGTCATGTGGTGAATGGCATTTCGCACGATACTGTCCATTCAAGCGTCATATTTGTGATAAGTGCCATAAACGCGGCCACAAGGAAGACTTTTGCCATCAGTCCCGGCCAAGAAATGTGAAGCAGTCCTACCGAAGGAAGAATTTCAGAAAACCTGACGCATAATCACTATCGGTGATTGTTACGTTTCACAGCCATTCTAGAGCACGCCGCCGATTTAGCACTGTGCTTATCAACGGAATCCCAACCCGGCTGCAGTTCGATACGGCATCAGATATAACGATCATTTCCAAGAACACTTGGAAGCACATAAAGAAGCCGAAAATGATTGATTCCAACAAAATCGCTCACAATGCATCCGGTGGAGTGCTGAAGTTGGTCGGAGAAATAAGTTGCAAAATTGCATTCAACGGAGTGGAAAAGGCCGGAACCTGTTACTTGTCTGATCGACCAAACTTGAACCTCCTTGGACTTAACTGGATGGAAAAATTACAACGGTTTGATGCTCCAATGAGTCAGATTTGCAATACAGTACAAACCGACCCAGTACATTCATCATTGTTGATAGAAGAGATGACCAGAAAGCTAAAGCAGCCGTTTGTTACCTTGTTTGAAGATGGTCTCGGCCACTGCACTAAGTTCAAAGCAAAGTTGTGTCTTCGTGAAGGAACCAAGCCAGCCTTTAGAGCAAAAAGACCGGTACCGTATGCAGTCATGACAGCAGTTGATCAGGAGCTCGACCGACTGGAACGAGCCGGTGTCATCACACCAGCGAACTACTCTTCATAGGCTACGCCGATTGTTGCTGTGAAAAAGCCGAACGGTAAAGTGCGAGTCTGCGCCGATTTTTCGACCGGCTTGAATGCCGCATTGGACGACCATCAATACCCCCTTCCGATACCAGAAGATAGCTTTGCCAAGCTAAATGGTGGGAAGTGTTTCGCCAAGCTCGACTTGTCCGATGCCTCCTCCAGGTTGAGGTTGATGAAAGCTCAAGAGAATTGCTGACCATCAACACTCATCGTGGCTTGTACTAATACAACCGCCTCCCTTTTGGCGTGAAAACAGCACCAGCCATCTTCCAGCAGCTGATGGACACCATGCTCGCGGGAGTTTCTGGAGCCGCGGCGTACCTGGATGATATCATTTTAATGGGTCGGACGGCAGAAGAACTATTTCAGCGGCTCGCTGAAGTGTTTGTACGTATCCAGTCATATGGTTTCCGTATCCGCGAAGATAAGTGTACCTTTTTTACACCAACCATCAAGTTTCTCGGTTTCATCTTCTCTAGAGACGGCCGTCGCCCTGATCCAGAAAATATCCGAGCTATTCAAAAGATGCCCCACCTGTGGACTTGCAGTCGCTGCGTTCATTCTGTGGCCTAATCAGTCATTACAGCGCCTTTCTGCCCGAACTACATCGCCTGCGTGCCCCATTGAATAAGTTGCTGAGCAAGGATCAAACCTGGAATTGGACGCCAGAATGCCAGACTGTGTTTGAGCGGGTCAAGTCATTGTTGGCTTCAGACTTACTCCTAACTCACTTTGATCCTTCCCGGGAAATTGTCCTTGCCACAGACGCATCGAGTCTAGGAATCGGTGCCGTAGTTTCCCATACGTTCCCAGATGGATCTCAGAAGGCGATCGCACATGCCGCCAGGACGCTAACGAAAGCTGAAAGAAACTACAGTCAGATCGAGAAGGAGGCATTGGCCATAGTGTTTGCTGTGAAGAAATTTCACAAAATGCTGTATGGTCGCCGCTTCAAACTCTTGACGGATCACAAGCCGCTGCTGGCCATTTTCAGCTCGAAGAAGGGAATTCCTGCCTATACAGCCAATCGACTCCAACGATGGGCACTTACATTGCTGGGCTATGATTTTGAAATCCGTTAGCAGTCAACGAATTCGCTGAGCCAAGCAGATGCGTTGTCACGCCTCATTGATTCCCAGCAACAAGAACAAGAGGACACCATCATTGCCTCATTTGAAATCGAACCTGATGTCAAATTCCTGGTGAACGAGGCACTACATGGTATGCCAGTTACGGCCGATGCTTTACGGGCCGAAACGCTTCGAGACCCAATCTTGAAGATGGTGACACACTTCCACAGAACCAGCTGGCCACGTTCGTGTTCATCTGCCGAAATGCAGCAGTTCTATCAGCGAAGACATTCGCTTTTCCATTGTGGACGGTTGCATCATGTTCTCAGACAGAGTAGTCATCCCGCAGGCGTTGCAACAAAGAGTGCTGCGACAGTACCACGCAGGACATCCGGGGCTCAACCGAATGAAAGCGCTTGCCAGAAGTTTTGTGTATT